ATATAATGCTTTAAATAAAATAGCTAATTTAAAAAAAAAACATTAAAAATTTTCCAAATAATGAAAATTATATGAGTTTAGTAAAAACAATATTTTCTACATTTATTGTTTTACTTAAAAAAAAAAAAAATTGATGGAGAATGATTATAAGAGAACAATGGTAGACAAATAAATGGAGCTATCATCTATGGTTTTCATTTTTTATTTATTTTATATTTATTTAAGTAATAAAATCATTTTCTAAGGGATAAATAAATCAATTATTACTCTAGATTAAGTCTAAGTTATCTCCAAAATATAACGGTTATATAAATTATTTACAATTAAGCCATACACATTGGGACAAAAACATCCATACATCTATGTGAATAAGCTTTCAACTTTTTCATTCTTGTTTTCTTTAGTTAAAATCCACGGAGAGATCTACGCGTTAATTAAATAGAGATTTACAGTTCCTTAGAGAACCAAAAGCTCTCTAAAAAATATAACTTTTGAAATAAAATTTAAGAGCCACTGGATCTATCTATTACAATAAACAAGAAAGAAAAAAAGAAAAACAAAACCAGCTTTGAACATTTTCATTCATCATGAATATATAGAAGGAATTAGGGTTCATAAACACGTCGCTGGAAATAAATATTTGATTTACAATAATTCGCCATATAAAAAGAAGATCAATTAAAAAAATGTATTTTACGATTGATAGTACATAAGCAATCGAATCAGATTAATTATTCTATGTGGACACCAGACAGAGAGAACCGTCTAGATTTGCTGCATCTTTATTGTCATTTTGCTGGGCTTTTACAAAAGGGTAGTAAAAATGACAGTAAATATTTAATATTTACTAAATAATTGAATATTTGCTACGTTTGTACTTAGTATTTGCAAAAGTACAACAAATGACAGTGAAAACACATTCATAATTGAATATTTGCTACTCTTTTACCGCCTTTTACAAAAGCGCAGCAAAAGAGTAATAAAAACGCAACAAATCCGAACAGTTCTCAACATCTGATATCCGCACAGAATAATTTCCCCTCGAATCATTAGCCACCACTACTTTATTCTTAATTTGTCTTTCCTCGCCCACCATTATTTGCATGGATGTCCTTTATTAACCATCGTTAAAGGCGGTATAATTGTAATAATATGTTAGGTAACATGCAAATATATATATATATATTTTTTACATTAAATCTCTTTCTTTAATTATAACTAAATTTTGGTTAAGAAAATCTGACATAATTTTTTTTTTAATGATTATATGGATTCATCAATATTATTTCAAATGAAGCCTAAATGATATGAATTTGAAGCAGATTTTTTTCTCAGTGGTTACAGAAGCAATGTTTCCCTTTGGTGAAAAATTATAGTAAGGCGTTTGTTTCTATTGGCCATAAATAAATAATATGATGTTGATTAAATGGATGAAAAATTGGATAAAAAATATAACGATTCTTTCATTTTCATTCGAATTTGGCTCAAACCAAAATTAATATCTTTAATGTTGATCTAACGGAAGATTAATTAGTTTAGTTTATTTGATTCAAATTTAATCCAATCAAAAACATGTATGATCCTAACTGATATATCATCAAAAAAAAAAATTATCGGGCATGAATCTTGAAGCAAATTCTGATTAAACGCTTCCAAAATTAAATATGGAGTCATTCGAACTCTAATTTCCGCAAACTTATAGTCGAATTGAACGTCTCGAAAAGATAAACCAACGACACCAAATTCGACATAATATGAGTCCAAATGAGTCCAAATCAATGACCTGTCGTTGGACTTCGGTCGGACTTCTGTCATGCCACCAATTATCGTTAGACATACGCCCAACCACCAATTCTTGTCAGATTTTTTTTTGTCCACCGACCATTGCTGAACTTTTGTCGGACTTCCTCCCGGCCACCAATTGTCGTCGGACTTATGCCCGACCACCAATTGTTGTCACATTTCCTCCAGACCATTTATCGTCGTCCGACTGCGGTCTTTCGGACCTCCATCGCATGCTTACTGTAGTTTTTCCGACCATTGTCGTCCGATTATAATCTCCCTACTATGATCTTTTCGACCTCTGTCACTCACTGACTACGGTCCTTTTGACCATCGTCACCCAACTACAATCTTTCCGACCTAAGTCGCCCACCAACTACTGTCCTTCTCACCACTGCCACCCGACTATAATCTTTCTGACCTCCATAGCCCAACTATAGTCCTTCCGACCACCATTGCCCGACTACAGTCCTTTCAACCTACATCGCTCATTAACTATAATCCTGCTGACCAAATGAATATGTTAACACTAATTCTTCCAACTCCCACCATGTAATGCACTTTATATAATGTATATAGGCTACATCGAGCCAAGGCCTTTCTCCCCATGGTAGGGCCTCATTTGTAATCAACTGTAAACATTAGTGCGTACATTCAACTAGACTAGGCGCTGTGGTTTTTCTCTTTTTTAGAAGTTTTCATATAAAAATCTTGGTCTCTCATGAACGCTACCCCTCTATCATTCGTCTATTTGTGTGTCAGACTTTTATACAAAGTTAAGACTAAACTTTATATCTCTCTATCACCTCGAATATTCCATGCCCCACACATTTTATAAAGTCAACCTGATTAGGACTTCATTTGGGACAACATTTGATTACTAATTTTGTTTGTTTTTTTTAAAGTTTTATACTATAAAATTATCGTAGAAATCAGTAAGAAAATTATCCCAAATGAAGCCTAAATTAATATCATACATGATAGAATTGGAATCATTATAATTAAAAAAAAAAATCTCTAAAATTTTTAGTTTATAATTTCTTAAAATTCAAAAATTATGTTAAGCAAGACAAATTAAAAAAAAAAATTACAAAATCTAACTTTAAACTAAAATTCAAAATCGGCCTACATCAAACCAAATTTGAACTCTTTTTTGGGTCAACAAGGATCTTGATTTCTACTAATGAACCAAATAAAATAAAATTTTATTTGGATAACTTTCCTATTATTTTATAAAATTGCTATAAAAAAATAAAATCTTAAACTTTGATAAAATAAAGCTTTACGGTACTAAGGTTTCATTTGATACAATTTTTTTATTATTTTATAAAACCATTTTTTATTATACAAATTTCTTGAACTTAAATTTTTTATATTAAAAATTTACTTTTGAAAGAATTATCAAAGCACTCCCAAACAAAGCCTAATTTTTTTTAAAAGTACTAAGAAAATAATCATCAAGCAAAAATTATGATTCTAATCTAAAAAATAACTTAATAAAAAACTACCTCGAACAAATTGTAATTCAAATTGATTTAGTCTTCAATTGGATTAACCGCTTATTAAAACAGTTTTTTAGTATAAAAATTTAATTTTTAATTAAAAAACTGTTTTTAAAATCATTAAAAAAGCCTTAATTTTGCGAATGATTGCAAAACACTGAACGTTATACATGAATAATAAAAAGAAAAAAATAGAGAATCCTCTACAGAGAGCACAATTAAGTGAATTAACTATCTATTGAATAAATCAGCCCCAAACAATACACTGACAAAATACATCTACAGTCAGTTCTGCTCTATATAATTGTCAGCTATTAATACAAGCAATGAACATCATTATTACATCGACATGAATGCTCCATTATTCTCCATAACCACAAGGCATAATTAAGGACTGTATCAAAATGAACAAAAAAAAAACCGAAATAAATGTAATACATATCTTATGAACCAAGAAAATGGCTTATGTACATATAAACTTTAGTGAGATATTTCGAGAGCACAATAACGGGGGAAATTATTAACCTAGAGATGCGTCTGGATTATTGGATGCACTGCGTACGCTCTAAGTACACTCTGCTTATATTGTGCGTATATTCTGCTTACACTATGTTACACTCTGCATATTTGTAGATACACAACAAATAATCAGCAAATCCTCACAACTAAATATTTGCTGCTTATTAACTGCAATAGGCAGTGTATACTCAGTAAATACGCAGAACGTAGGCAGAGCTTAAGCATCCGGACGTAGGTGCGGTGTCCGCACCTAATAATTTCCCCAATAACAGAGGCTTAGTAGACAAATGTGAACCAAAATGTCTGTTGTTTAACGTCGATTTGCCCTTAATGATTGAAAATGAGCAGCAAAGGTTTCATAATCAGGAAGTTTTGGATGAACATGAGAGGCTTTCTGTGGAGCAGTTTCTTGTGATTTTGTCCCGCAACCAGAATCTGATGGCTTATTTCGATTCTGTTTATCGACAATCTGAGAAAGGGGTTCTGTTGCAGAGCTCTGTCCAGAAGAGAAGTTTTCAGTTTCAGAGTTCGACATATCAGAATACTTAGTAGATCTAGGAAGATTAGTTCGAACCTTCGGCGTAAAATCTTTTGTCCGACGAGATAATTTGAATGTTGTACTGGAACTCGCATTTCCTTGACCCTCCGTGTTAACCTTTGAATCTCTCTCTTCGACATCAATATCAGAATCGATGTCTGTCTTTGACATTCGGGAGCTCAGTTCCTTGTAGGCCTTGGCTCGCGGTTTATCACTATAGATCTTCTCGTTTAAAACTTCAGAAATTTGGGGAACCTGCGCTGATGGGTTTGGATCACCCCCTCTATATCCTCTACTCTTTTCGTGATTGGAAACAGAATGCTTTACACCAAATGATTTATCTGTGTTGAAGATTTTGTTCTTGGTGTATTCTTCTGACAGAGATCCTTTAGCTTCGTCGGATTTTGGATTAGTGGAAGCTAATGGCATTATTGGATTTGATGGGTCGTCTTCCATCAGGGAGCTTGTGGAGGGCTTCTCCCATGGAGAAATAATGTGCGTAGTATTGGAGATAGCACTGCCTGAGATCTCTAATGAAGGCACAGAAGAATCGAACACAGAGCTTGCTGTATAAGGTGGATGGTTGTAACCTCGGTTTCTTAGCCCACCAGTTAATCTTCCAAAATTCAGACCGAATTCGCCTCCACTTGGAAGTTCTTCTGGCATTTCAGGATCTTTGACACCTACAGAAGAGGAAGACACTTCAAGGTGATTCTTTACTTCAGCTTCCAACGGTGTTTTAGCTTTTGTCGAGCTCAAAGGCTGCAACTCTTCTCGAGGATGAGAGTCGTCTCCGCCCAAGCCACTTTTTTCATGGAACAAATTACTATTCTGGGCAGTTCGATTCTGCTGGGAACTGCTAGTGTCATCGTCACTTTCTGAAGAAAGACCATCAGAATAATCAAATTTTGATGATGGAACCTTTTCCACAGTAACAGGATGAGTTTCATGGCGAGACCCACTGAAAATATTGGAATTTATAGAACTGTTGCTGGGAGCGAAGATAGGGGATTGACCATTCTGTTTTTCATGAAATGAATCGAACAAGTTATCTTTAGCATCAATTGATTCAGGATCATATTCATCAAAAACAGCAGCAGGATAGTCGTCGGGAACATATTCCTTACTGTCATATCTGAAAAGCCTTTCTCCAGCATCTATTTCAGGTGTGTTATGCGTCAGATTATCATGATTAACAGATTCGTGCATGCCAATGGATGGAACCCAATTGGCTTCATCGTCAAAGGTAGGTACCATAAAACTAGCAGAAGCTGATCTATCATAGTTCACTTCTGCATTTTTTTCAACAAATGCACCTTCGTCGTTCTTCTTTTTATTTCCCATTTCCATCCTAGAAAAACTTCTCCGAACACTATCAAATGTCCTCACATTGTCCATTTGAGAACTATACTCCATGACCTCATCAGAGGTTCTGCTATGATCTGAAATTTCTTCTTCCAAATCATCTCTGGGAAGCTTACGCATGTCCTCTTTCATCCCTTCGAAGCCTTTGACTTGATCATATTCCATATTTACAGATTCATTGTGTTCGTCTTTAAGCTTTGAGCTTACTGCTCTCTTTGGCGTTTCATCTCTGTTACTATGCAAAGATGATACATTTGGCTCGTTAGAGTTATGTCTGGAAATGTTCCCTCGACTTGCAAGTTCAACAGCAGCTCTAGCAGCTATGCTAGCCCTCTCTGCAGATTCCGCAGCCACCTGAGCAGCGGAGGCTGCATCATTAAATTCCATTTTCCAAGTTGGATGTTTGAAGGAAGCGATGTCCTCTGTTCGATATGAATCCCTTACTTCCGGCACCCCGGCTTTCCAATCTGTTAACAAGAACAGTAAAACCATCAAACCTCAAACGAACTAGTAATAGCCATTACTTTGTAGTAACCAATAGGGAAATAGTTTCTACTTCACCTGATTCCCTGGAATCATTCGAAGCAGGTGGTGGTACAAGACGGGTTGATCTCAAGTTAGAATGTGAGGAGGAGTCAAAACTAGTTGGTTTGCTTGGTATTTCACTTTGATAAACTTTTGAGGCCGATTCAGCCTGGCTGACATTTGGAGGCAATTTGATATTTAAGGGCTCCATTGACGTCTTGTTGGCACCAACAAAACTGCTGGAACCATTCTACAAAATAGAAAATAAAACACTTCAATTTTTACAAGCTAATGCATAAAACTAATAAATAGATTGAAGTCTGAATCAGCAATGCAAACCAAGAGGTCCTCCTTAGGTTTCTGAAGTTTCTCATCAAATGCCTTTGGATCCCATTTGACATCATGCTCTTTAGCAATTGCAGTTAATATCTTCGTTTTCGTCTCTGTGTCAGGTGTTTTTGCTGATAATTTCTCAACAATCTACATTTAGAGAAGGCAAAATATTGAACAACCAATAGAAAACAATAACAGATTCAAACGGGGGCCAAATAAATTTATTAACTAGAGAAAGCTCATCATTGGAATAACAAAAATAAAAATAATTTGATTCAACTAGAACTTACCATTCGGTTAACACCACAATCTGGTCGAAGTTCAAGTGCTGATGTGGCAAACTCTTTCCCATACTTCGCCACAAACTGTTTACGTGCATCCATAAGTTCTGGTATATCTGCACACCTTGGGGATGCAAATATCACACTAGATATTGCTTCCTTTAGATCAATGGGACAGCTCCTGTAAGTTTTGTAAAATCAGTTCTAAAAAGATGAAAAGGGGCATAATGCATAGCATGCTGTGCACAACCAGTAAGAATTTGCTTCATGATGTAAACCCGGCAAAAAATAGCTATCCATCTTCCTGAAAAGGCATGACATAGTTGTAAGCTCAAGTTCTACGAAGCCCAAGAAAGAAGGCATGTTTCTTCACACTATGCAATTCAAAAGATGACTTGGTTTTGCTTTTGTTTTCTACATAAAACAATCTTGAAGGATAAGATTGCCTGTGCTTTGAAGCATTTTTAGGAACTATTACTGTCATAATTCGAAACTTTTAAATAAGTCATAACATGCACAGAATGATTTTGACTCCTGCACCACTTATCAAGAAGTATGAGAAAAAGCATTGAAAATACAAAGGGAAGATAGTACTGATGAAACTATATGCTTGCAAAGGGATCATTGTAATATGAGGTCATAAAAAACTATTAAGGTAAATTGCACCCAGGTCCTTGAGATCAAGAGGATACTTTACAATAATCCTTGTTTTAAAAACCTAAAATTGGATCCCTTTGATTATGTGCTTCAATGGGGGTCTCCTGTGAATTAAAGGATAGAAATCTCCAAATTCCTAAAATAAATTTCACTTATAAGACAAGCTGGAGGACCTAATTGACACAAAATAACAGAGAACTTGATCTGAGTTCCCCTTAGAATGGTTCTGAACCAGAATTGAGGAAGAAGTATTAGAATGCAGCTAAAGCTTACACGACCTATATGTTTGATAGAGAGATGGGTTATCTCAAAGCTAACAAGGAATATCAGTGGTTGACACATCTCAATAGAAGCAAAGAATTTATAGCATAGCATTTCTTTGATGTAAATATCACAGCAAATCAAGTTGAGAATAATCTGGTTGAATGTTTTAACATTGGCTTAGAAAAGATAGAGAGAAACACATAAGAACCTTACTAGAAAACTTGAGATTGAACCTAAAAGGAAGATTCAGCAATACAAGTAACAAAGAAATAAGGAAGATGAACTGATTCCAGAAAAGCACAATAGAGATAACATGTGAAAGAGTGGTCCCAAGAAATTAAAAAAAAAAAAAATCAAGCCATTGACAAGGGGTACATATTTATAATCTTACTTTTTTTGGGTAAATGCAAGGTTGTGAGTGCAGAACTGGGATATTTGTGGGACCCCTTAAATAATGCTTTGTTGTGCATTGCATAAAATGACCCATAATAATATTTTCATAGCAACTTTAAGATAGATGTTTTCACAAGGGACATATAAAAGAATTATACATGAAATTCCTGATGCAAGGAGCATGATGCGTAAAGAAGTTGATGAACTAATTGCACCAAAATTCATGAAGAAATCAGTTAGAGCAAAGTAAATAAGAGGGGTGATGAAGAGTTATATATTGATGATAAGTTATATGCAGATCAAACACAATGACTAGTATCACGAGGTCATTTCGGATACAAAAAGAAGACATATCAAGATCCCCCGTTAGCCCCTGGCAGTCAAGAAAATTTTCAAGCCATTGTCAAGGAGCGCACATTTTTAGTCTACTTTTGAGATATTTAATGGTGATGATGAAATATAGGGGATATGTTGGACCGGCCCAATTTGAATTAGGGGATTCAATTAAATATTGCTTTGGAGGGAACAACTCAATTAAATAAAGCTTTGAGAGGGAACAACTCAATAAAATATTATTTTGGGAGGGAACAACTCAATTAGTATTGTTTTGGGAGATAACAACTCAATTAAATATTGCTCTGGGAGGGAAAATTTGAATTAGGGGTTGTTTAGGGATTTTGTAATATTCTTTGCTTTAAATAGTTTCTCTTATAAGGGTTAGGATTTCATCTTAAATTTGACTGAAATTTGAAATCTCTTAGGTTTAGTTTTTTTGGGCTCTAGAGGCGTCTAGAGATTTGGGAGATATAGATCCTCCTCTCGAATAGAGGATTAATTGTATATTGCTTTCTTTATTCTGTTATTTTTTCAATAAAATTTACTATTTTGTTGATTTTCTCATGGGATTTGTGGAGCATTTTGCTATTTTTTCGTCTCTATTGATAGGTTTTACTTGAAATCTTCAAGTGTTTCCTATCAAATTGGTATCAGAGCGCTTTCTTGGGCGGAAAAATATAATATCTCCGCTGTTTTTGCAATTGGAGCCTAGATCTAATTAATGACAGAAAAGAAGATGGAGGCGCTGGAAGGCGAGAAGGAGCAATTCAAAACCGGCGTGGAGAAGTTCTCTACCATGAAAGAAAGATTTTCATATATGGAAAACCAATTTAGAAGGGTGGAGGAGATGTTAAGAATGCTCTTGGAAATGCAAACAAAAACTTCAAGAGTGGATCCGATGCTAGCCCTAACCAAGATTTGACCGGGATTCCCTTGGCCGAAGCGAAGCAAGAGGAGTTTGACAAGGGGAGTTTCTTTCATCAAGAGCCACCTCCTGTGACTCAGATAAAGAGTGGATCAGGGTCTCTGGATGAGGGGACAACAAAGATGAAATTTTTTGGTGGAAGCGGTAGGGCGGCCGACCACTATGAGAGAAATTTTGGGCAAGGGGAGCCACTCATTGGAGAAGTAGGGGGTTAAGAGTCACCTCCTAGGGCTCCAAAAAGTGGTAAAATAGGGTTATCGGATGGGGGACAACAAAAAGGGCATTTCGTGGTGAAGGTGGTGGCGTGGCCGACTCCTAGGGGAGGTCTTTTGGCAAGGGAAGAGGACGACTAAAGGAGTGGAATGGGCCGAACCATGGGGATCAGGTCATGTGAGGTGAAGGGAAGGAAGGTGGGATTCCCACCCACAATACATGAGGGAAATATGGAGGGATCACGAAAACCGCTATGCTGGAGAAGGAAGAAGCTATTTGAGTGGTAGTGATCCTAGGGTGAGGAAGTAGGAAATGCTAATATTTAAAAGGGAGGATGTTTATGGGTGGGTGTACCGGATGGAGATGTATTTCATGGTGATTGGGTTAACTGAGGAGGTGAAGTTTACGGTGCATGGCTATGTGATATCGAACATACATGCAAGGATGATTAGGTTAAGGAATTTGCACGCTTAATTTTAGAGACCACAATAATTATATCTTTATAACTATTTTAACGACGAGATAAAACACAAGAGTGGTAGAACAAGCTTAGGCTAAATCACATGCATAGGAGTTAAGACCGTTAAACAACCAAATAATCTAACGTTTCATACATTAATGGTTTTCAACAAGAGATCCCTAGATTAACAATAAGATTAGCTACTATGCAAGGATCCCTCATTCAACTCTCTAGCTTACAAGTTTTAGCAAAGGAGAATTGGCATGATCTTTTGTGAATCAAAATATAACCACAATTGGAAAGTAAACTAGGAAGATATATGACTTGGAGAAAAGGAGTTTACCTAAGGTTGAAGGTACGAAGCTCCGGTGTGGTCATAGTGGGCGATTGAGGGTAATAGACAGCGACTACGAGTCTTCCGGACGCTATTGGGCAGCAACTTGGACTTGTGGGCAGCAAGTCAGCAGAGGGAGAACTCACCAAGACTGCTAGTAAGCAGTTTTAATGCTTCAGAAAGTTCTGGACAGCACTATATAGCAATCAAGAAAGCTTGGACTTGCTGTTGTTTGACGTTGGAAGCTTTGGACTTCAATTTGGGAATGCACTGGGTACAAAACAGTATGTACAATTGCTGGAGTAGAGATACAGTAAGCAGGAAACCAGCAATTTTGAAGATACCGTGAAGGGAATTAAAGAGGGGCGGTTAGATTGAACGTTTAAGAATTTCCAAATCGGAATTTGGGAGTAATGGAGATTAGGAGGGTCCGACTGATTAAGTGAGCATTAATGGGTTGATTGGAGGCTTGATTGAGAGCTTTAATTAGATAGGAAAGAGATTGGAAGGGGCCAGCCATGAGAGAGGGGAGAAAAAGGTGTCCAAGTTTAATGTATGTGAGTTATAGGGCAATTAATCAATTTATTTCAATATCGATTAATTGATTGAATGAAGGGGGTTTTCAAATATGGTGTAATTAATTATGAAAGATTTGAAATTCAAACTTGATTAATTTGAACTTGAATTTCTTTCTAAATTAAAAATAATCCAAATTAGGAAGGAAGGGGAGTTTTGGAGGGAAGTGGAGTTTGGGATGAGATAAATCATTCCAACCCAATTTAAAATTAAATTGGGATTAGAGTCAAGATTTGCCTAATATGGCTTTGTAATTTAATAAACTATTTGAAATTTAAAATTTGAATTTCAAATTGTTGAGATTAATTTCCCAAATCACTTAGGTTATTTTAGGCAAGTATTAATGAAGAGTTAATTCATCATTCAAGGAGAGGGAAATCATGTGGTCGGTGGAGCTTGGGGGGGGGGGGGGGGGGGGGGAGAAGAGGACGGAGTAGATGCGAGGAACAAAAAGTAGAGCCTCTAACCTTGGACCCTTCCAAAGGTTGATAGGTATTACGATTGCCCACACCTTGGGTTTTCTTTCTTCTCCCAAACACTCAACATTGAGAGAGACAAAGAAAACTTAGAATTTATTAATCAATCATCATCCAAAAGACAAGAGAGCTAGCCCATAAATAAGCCTCATGAAAAGAAAAGAAACAAAGACTAAAATGTCATTCGGGCTACAACACCACATGACCACCCCTAGGGGTAAAATGAGAAAAACAAAAATATAAAATAAAATAGTACATAAGGTTGACAGGTATTACGATTGCCCACACCTTGGGTTTTCTTTCTTCTCTCAAACACTCAACATTGAGAGAGACAAAGAAAACTTAGAATTTTATTAATCAATCATCATCCAAAAGACAAGAGAGCTAGCCCATAAATAGGCCTCATGAAAAGAAAAGAAACAAAGACTAAAATGTCATTTGGGCTACAACACCACATGACCACCCCTAGGGGTAAAATGAGAAAAACATAAATATAAAATAAAATAGTACATAAGACACGTCAAAAAATAAAATAAACTCCAGATCGTAGCCTTTGATCTTCCGATGTCCTCATCACTATGTCTAGAAATGAAAGCTTTAGCTTGGTTCTAGTGGACGATAGCATGACCATTAACAGAGTAGCTGAATAAAGCTATCAACTACGTCCCATACTTCCACCTTGAGGACAAGGTGGATCTTTGGGAGAGAAGTTGTTAGACCGGTCCAATTTAAATTAGGGGATTCAATTAAATATTGCTTTGGAGGGAACAACTAAATTAAATAATATTTTGGGAGAGAACAACTCAATTAAATATTATTTTGGGAGGAAACAACTCAATTAAATATTATTTTGGGAGGGAAAATTTGAATTAGGGGCTGCTTAGGGATTTTGTAATATTCTTTGCTTTAAATAGTTTCTTTTGTAAGGGTTAGGGTTTCATCTTGAATTTGGCTGCAATTTGAGATCTCTTAGGTTTAATTTTTTGAGCTCTAGAGGCATCTAGAGATTTGGGAGGGATAGATCCTCCTCTTGAGTCTTGAATAGAGGATTAATTGTATCTTGCTTTATTTCTTCCGTTAGTTTGACTACTTAAATAAAAATTACTATTTTGTTGACATAGGGGCTGCTTATAGCATTTTGTTGTTTTACATCCCTATTGATAGGTTTTACTAGAAATTCTCAAGTGTTTCCTATCAGGATATTATTAGTATAAATCAAGTTAAATGGTTAAAGTGGAGAAATGTATAGAGTTTATTATGTGATAGAAAATCAACACTCAAACTTAAGGGAAAATTCTATAAGATGGTACTGAGATTTGCAATGCTTTATGGCGCAGAATGTTTATCATTAATAGAAAAGCATAAAATTAAGTTAAGTGTTGTTGAGATGAGGATGCTCAGATGGCTGAGTGACTTTACTCTTAGAGACAAATGCGTAATGAGTATATACGTGAAAATGTTAGAGTAGCTCCAGTGACAGATAAGAATAGAGAGAGTCGCCTTAGATATTTTGGTCATATAAAACGTCAAACTTCTGATGACCCGGTTAGGAAAGTAGATGTTTAGATTTGGCCTATGTTAAGAAAGGTAGAGGTAGACATAAAAATAATTTGTTAGAAAGTATTAGAAATGACTTTTTTCTTAGATTTGAATGAGAATTTGACTCTTAATAGGACATAATGGGGAAAAAAAGATTTTATATTGTCGACCCCATGTAGTGGGATGAAAGCTTGATGTTATTGCTGTTTTTGTTTGAAATATTTGATGGGATCACCACTTTCATAAAAAGCTTCACTGTGTATTTCATGCAACAAGATGACCCAAAACTACAATGTTATAGTAACTTTAAGATAGATGCTTACACGTGGGCTTATACATGTAATTCCTGATGTAAGGAATATGATGCTTATAAAAGGTGATAATATAATTACACGGGAATTCAAGAGGGAATAAGATAGAAAAAAGAAAAATAAGAGGGATGAGTGAACTTGCAACGCATGGTCGGTTAGGACAAAAAAAGAAGACTGCCAAAGTGCCCCCTTTGACATTAGTAAAAGGATGAACAATAAGGTAAAGCTAAAAAATTTATCTTTTTGCATATATTGATAAATATCAATTTCTTAGCGTGTAGGGATTAGAAGTAATTGATCAGTGAGATGAACCTAGAAGAGTGAAATAATTGGCTACAAAGCACAATAATGACACACCTTCCTCACCGTTTGAAGAGAGTATGACTCAAATATATAGGTTCTTATGGTGCAAGGCTAGCGTTTTTTCCAAGAAGGTTTGAGTGGGTTTCAATGTTGTTTTACAACTGCTTTTTTATGTTATATTGTTGAAACTCTATGTTTCAACTATGTTCTAATTGTCATGTAATTTAATGTTCGCTAACAATCCAAGTGTTTTATTATTAGGTTGCTTTAATAAGCTTACTACAATGACCCAATGAGTAAATCAAATTTCTATAATTGAATAATTTTCTTCATGAAAACTATAGCAATAAAGCTTCATATCAAATGATATTAAAAAAAATTATAATTATGATATCTTTTTTATATCACTTCTACAAATCAGCTAAGTTCTTCTTCAACTAATCTATTCCAGCTTTCAGTTCTCACAGAATTTTTAACATTTCTATGTGTTCTTTGACTTAACCTTTGCAAGTAGAGTTTGTATTGAGAATATCAGAAGTTAGATTGAATCCATAAGGTGCACACCACTGGAATCCACAGAGAATGTTACCACATGTAAAAGAAAGATTGGCTGGCAACAATTATTTAATATGTTCATTTTTGCAATGGCCAAACCTGTTCTTGAAGCTCAAAAGTGAAGGAGAAGAAAAGTTGGTAGTGCTACTTCGGTCTTCTATACAGGAGGAAGTTGTTGATGAAATTAGTGACCCACGTGAAATATTGAAGACTTTGTGGTTAAATGAGTGAGAAATGAGAAGTTGACGTTTTATAAACTAGTATTGCATTTTTTTTTTAACTGGAAATATCCAACATTCATCTAACCCTATTTGACAGCTATGTTTAACATATGATAACTGATAGGTGCCACTTAAAAGAGTAGGAACTGCATTTAAGGATCTAAGTGATATACGAAAATGCATTAGGGACAACTGCAAAGTTTGAAAAAATATAGACCAACGTGAAGAAGCTCTTAACTTCAGGTAATCAGGAGTAAATTACCCTAAATATTAATCATACATGTGCAGATAAACTTTCTCAACCATGCATATTATCAATTTTAAGGTATGAGAAAGAATAATGTAGATTCACAAGTGGAATATCTATGGAGGCAATACAAAAGATTTATTTTTTACTTAAATAACAACAACAACAAAACAATCAAGCCTTTTATCCTACTAAGTCTTTTTAGATCTACCACTGTCTTTCTTAACATAGGACAAATTTAATAAATCTACTCTCCTAATATGATCATTGGAAGGTCAATGTGACCAAACCATCTAAGGTGGCTCTCTCTAACCTTATCTACCATTGGAGCTACTCCAACCTTTTCACATATATACTCATTTCACAATCTGTCTCTAAGTGTAAAGCCACTCATCCACCTGAGCATCATCATCTCTACAACACTTAATTTAATTTTATGCTTATTTTTAATGGACAACATTATGTTTCATAAAGCATTAATCATCATCTTATAAAATTTTCCCTTAAGTTTGAGGGGGTACTTTACTATCACAAACAACCCCAATGCATTCCTCCACTTCAACCACCCAACTTGAATTATACTAATAATATCCCCATCTATTTCACTATCGCTTGAACAATAGACCAGACATATCTAAAATGTGTACTATTTTTAATGAATTGATCGCCCATAGTCACAATCCCTCCACTAGATCTATTAATACTAAAATTACACTTCATGTATTCAATTTTAGATCTACCCAAACAAAAACCTTTAGACTCTAAGGTTGACCTCCATAATTCAAAATAAATGATTAAAAATAATGTTGCAAATTAGGATAGAGCAAACCCAAAAGTTTAAAAAAATGACACCAAACATGATCCCATGGTTTGGTCAGAGGCACTCTAGTTGTAAATTCATTAATGAACAAATTTGAAACACAATTCATGCTTACATAGATTATATTTATAAAGTGAATAATCAAGAATTCCAAAAAGCTTCCTAAGATATAAAATTCAAATAGGGAAGCAAGACAACACAAAATTTCCCAAAACAAAAACTATTAACATTTAACATCACCCAATAGGAGTTTCTATGCCAAGGTGTTAAAAGTAAAAAGTAAAAAGTACAAGAAGGTATAAGGTAATAAGTTTCAGTCATAACATACTTTTGAGACTCAATAATGGGCATTCGTGCCACAATTAGTTCACAATATATCTCAATAAGATCATATGCCGACATGGTCTTCTCTTCCCTTATCACATGTTCAACCTGGAAAAAAGACAATCTCAAATGTTATAGGGATCAGTGCAAAGAAAAACATGATTCGACAATTAATATTACTTCTAACACTTCACAAAAGAAAAAGTAAAAAAGATAATATCTAGCTCCAAAAATGTCAAAGGAATCTATGCTGCTATGCACATAACAAGTGGTTAAAAGTCATGGTTTGCATACAAAAGGATACCAGAGCATGAAAATTGGCAATTGCTAAATGGCCCAAAGCTTTCCAACAATTAATCAAAATAACATAGGTTGTTAGATCGGTGTCAACAACGTAATATTCTATATTTAAGACAGTAAATGCTTAGGAATTACTTTTCATGAAGCAGGCATTTTATTTTTACCGGAAAAAAACATAGGATGTGCTAAAACGCTGAGCTCTCTTGACACTTCCCCTAGTTTATGATTAGATTCACAATAGTTCCCATGCTGTAATAATGCAATCTAAACGACAAAACTTAGTAAATAAATCTGCATCCAGGATTATTGGGGCCTGCAACTAACAGAGAGTTGCAGGATAAACAACTCAAATAAATAAATAAATAATCTAGCACCTCAAGTTTAATAATAAGCTGAAAAAGCAAAAATATTTGCCCATCAAATCAGAATATATATTTTTAAAAAAGCAGGATTCCCATAACCTTTATTCACAAAATTTGCTCCAAACAACCTTCCTTCAATAGAAACTTAACTGAAATTCATGCATATACGGTCATTACAGGATTTCAAAACAGGAGCTCTTCATCCGATTTTTTTTATTTCCAAATAAGTTCACAAGGAGAAATAGAAACACCCCCTAATATTTTTCATGCACAAAATACAATAGCAAACAACACTAACCCGGATCCTCGCAGTCTGTTCCTGACCGGTCGCAAGAAGCTGAGCCAATTCCCGCCTCAATTGTTTCACTTGGATATCCCTTCTGTTCTTTAACAGCTTTATCCGAGATATCCCAAGTTTCAACGACGTCTTGCTGCCAAACAATCCCAGATATCAAAACATAACACAATACATCAATCCAATACAAACTGATTGTCTGATTCACATCTCATCGACAACCATCAAAAAACAACCCAGCAAGTATCCTGTACTTACCATTTCCCCGATTTAAAGCTCTTGGACAGCATCTGCGCAGCGAAGCCCTCAGATCTCAACCAAAATCCAGCGCAATTCAATTCGATCCAAAATCAAGACGATGTGAGAAAAAATAATCAAAACTAGGGTTTTCGACTATATAATTTCTTGAGCTCCGCGTGGATTTACTTCAACCTGAAGAATCAACGCCGACTGAGCGGAAACTTCGGCTCTCTCTCTGATGCTCGGAGACTTCTGGCTCCCACGAAGGCGATGACTTGGTCTCTATTAATCCTAAGCTTACCGAGGGAAGATAAAAGGGTCAGGAGACCGAAACAATGCACTTTTATTAAAGTACCAAAACACCCTTCCATTCTGGAAGGCGGCGGTTCGAATAAGAACAGCTGTCAGTTAACGTAAGGGTATTATAGTTATATCATTTATGTGACCCGTCCACGCGTCTTTTGAGATTAATCTCAAATAAATTCAATAATTTTTTAGATTTTTTTTTCTCATGAAAATTTTTATATGAGAATAATATTTTAAGCTTATAAGCTTCAGATACTGCTCATGGACCTTTCTGAATTATTTATTTACGTAATTCGGATCTTTAGTTTTTTTTATTTATCATTTTTATAGGAGAAATGTCTGATTAGGATATTTAAATGAGTTTTTTATTTTTTTATATTTAGAAAAGAGTATAAATATGAATAATTAATTATTTTGTATATTACATTCACTTCAAAATAAGTTAAGAATCATAAAAATGATATTAATCAAATTTTAATTAAAATATCATCAACTATTTTATTTAGTTTATGTGTATGTTATAAAAATTGGGTAAGCGCAGTGGCGGAGCCAGAAATTTTGTTCAGGGGGGCCTAACGAAAGCCGTGCTCGATGTCGTAACTCGTGAGTCGCGAGAGAGCAGTAAAAGAAAAAACAAACTATTGATGATTTTCATGTGTCCAAAAAATAATGTTGGTGGCTTCTCCGGATTAATAAATAACTTTAAAATGAAGAATTACAAAAATTATAGCAGGTTTTCTCGTTGGCGAATTTTTGGCTCTATTAAGCTACTAAAACAATCAACTTTAAGCCCATTTAGGCTTTCAATTTTAACTTTAGCTAAATCAATAATACACAATATATATTTGGTTGGGTACGTTGTCATGAGTGCGCAGCGGCCGCAACATTTTCATTATTCAAATAGAGCTAGGAAAATTAAAATCATTCACAATAATTAATTAGATCATTAGCAATGCAAAAATAATTCATTAATTGGGTGGTAATTTTATATTTAATAATTATTAATTGATGATGAATATTTAATTAAGAATAAAAGTTTAAATAAAATCAAATTTAAAAAATTAAATATTTTAAATAATAATTAATTAAATAACATTACAACTCAACATCAAAATCTCTTTTCAGACTTTTGTCCCTCTCTCTCTCTCTCTCTCTCTCAATACTTTACCCCATTATTCTCTCTCTATACGGTTGAAGCATTGCATGTCCAGTAAAAGGTGGATTGAAGCATTGAAATGGAAACAACATGTAATAAATGAAATGAAAGATGACAGGTTCCAAGCTTTTGTTTCTGACTCAAATATATGAGTTAAAATAATTTCATAAAAAATATCTAATAAATAACTCATGAGAGTTTTTTTATGAGTAATTTGACTTTATATGCCTCTTATTATCAAACATAATTAGTCAAATATCCTCATTATTTATACTTTGTCTGACATCTGTCGGATCGGCACTGTCGAGCAGCTTTTCCCTCGTCTTATAGGGGAGAACTCAAGCCTGTATTAGGAATTTTTATTAGGTTCGGACACTTGACGTAGCTCTACATCCGGACGTCAATAACATGTCATCACGTGCTCTTACTCTTTACCGCGCGGCCCGACTACCCGACCCGGACCAGAACTCGGTATTGCTATGTTCTTGTATTGCTCGGTATTGCTAGGTATTGTTCAGTATTACTAGGTATTGTTTGGCAATAACGAGAAATACCGCTCTGTCAAGACCAATACCGAGCAATACCTAGTAAATTCGGGGTATTACTCGGTATTGTTAAGTATTGGTCTTGACACAATGGTATTTCTCATTACCGAGCAAAACCCTAGCAATACCTTGGTCTGCCAGTTAATACATGTTATATTCGGTATATATATATATAATTGAGCTTATAAATTTGATTGATAGCATTAGATCATAATTGAATATACTTTTATGATTTCATATATTTTCTTTGGAGTCTCTTATTCATGATTGTGGGATAAATAACAAATATATTTATAATTCAAATTATGGTTGTAGCTAAGTCTATTAGAATTCTATTATAATATGATGATACCTGATGTGATTGGATTTGTGAGCATTCAAATAATATTCAT